AGTGCTCAAACTAGCTTCAAGATATATCTAATTTGTAAACCTCTTCAGATTCAGGTTACAGTCAAATCTTTCGTATCACATTGGTCACAGACAGACAGACAGACAGACAGACAGACAGACAGACAGACAGACAGACAGCAAACCTGCTTTGTACAGGTGCAAGTGCGCAAGAAAGCGAACATTAAACCAAGGGCGGCAACCCAAACAGTATATGAAAAGATAATTAATCATGATTTACCTCCCTCTACCACCCCAAAAATACTCCCATCTTTCACACACACACACACTCACGCGCGCACGCACGCACGCACGCTCACGCACACACACACACACACACACACACACACACACACACACACACACACACACACACACACACACACACACATACACTCGTGCACACACACACACACACACACACACACACACACACACACACACACACACACACACACACACACATACACTCGTGCACACACATCGTTCCACTCTTTCTGCTGACCGTTTGGTCTCCAGTTGACTTTATTCTTTCCCCGCTGACTTTAAAAACTTGACTTGTTCATATCGTGTCGAGCCAGTAATAATGATTGTGAATACAGGTAGATCTACTTCTTCCTGGGTAGTTCGTGCTGTCTTTTCACTCAAGCGAAGTCTCTCTCTCACTTTCACGCATGCACTCATATGCAAGGGGACTCTCGTGGCCTAGAGGTTAAGGTGTTGGCCTCTCATTCAAAGATGCGGGTTCGAATCCGGGTAGCGACCGAAAATTTTTCTTCTCTAAAATTGTCTCCTTTCACCTCCTTTCCTGCCCTCTAGGAATGTTCTGTCGTCTGCTTATGTCTCCTATTTCTGTTCCCACCCCCTCACCTCATTTGCCCCCTCCTCTGGGCTCCTGACTCTTTCTGCAGCCTTTCTCCTGCTACCCCTTGGTTCCTTCTGACTGCTGTCTTTCAGCCACATCCCTGATCTTCTGGTAGGAAAGATCTACACCTAGCCTTCTCAGACAAGGGCGAAAAATCTCGGAGGGCCCGTATGCAAGTTGCGCAAGTTTAAGATCCCTTGGTATTATAAAATCGATAAGAGTAGGCTTCGGCCGTCACCCGGGCAAAATTCAAAATTTCATACCAACTGAAAAGAGTTAAAAGTGTCTCGCGCCCTCATATGACCTTATGCAGTTGAGAGCGCCGTAAAACACTTACAGAAAAAAGAAAGAAAAAAATGTAACGCACACACACTCACACTCACACACACAC